AAATATATTAACTTACAGTTTTAATTGTTCTTCCATCTAAAAAGAATATATTGTCCATTGATTTTTTGTTTCATAGAATTACTTAAATATACATGTTAAAATTAAATATTTGTTTAATTATCTCAGATTTGATAATTATATTGACTTAAGTAAAATTAATTATAAAATAAAAGGGGTTTATTCAAATAAGATCAAAAAAATAAATTATTCACTGATTTTTTATAAAACTGTTTAAGTATGCATGTTTAAAGTAATTGTTTATTTAGTTTTTTTCAGTCTAAATAACTTTATTGACTTAACCAAAATTAATTTAAGATGTATATGTGTTTAGTCACATAAGTTCAAAAAAATATATTGTCCAGTGATTTATTATCTACATTAAATTGATAGATTTTTATTATAAAATATCTTAATTATACTAAATAGAAGTGTATAAACAATTTTTATTTATTCTAAAACACACAAATTACTTGTTCTTTTATGTGTACATTAATTTTACATAAAACAAGGGTCAAAAAATTTTTTTTAAAAGCTACACCGCCTACATTATCAATAAAAAATGGCTATACACCTTACCAGCAAGTCTAACCACTTAACATCGTCTAAACTGGTCACCCACTTTAACCACCTTTAAAAAGTGTATCGTAAGTTGATTATTTATTTTTATTAATTTAATTTTTTATCATCTTAAATATTACTATACTTGTTGATTTAACAAAATATTAGTATTTTGACTTGTACGAAAAAAGAATTTATTACAGCTTCTTTATTAACTATAAATAAATATTTCTACATATTTAATGTGTCTTTTATTTTTTTGTTGATATATTAATATTTATGTACATTTAGCATAAAATATATATTACATATTTTAATTCAGTATAATGCTTTCCTTCAAAAAAGAAAAGTAAACTAAATTTTATATATTTTAATAAATTTTACTATATGTTATAATATTTTACTAACAAAAAATAATGTCTTTATATTATTATCAACTTTATTACCATTTTTATTAATTACAAACTATACGATAGATTTACCTTTATTTTTGTACTTTTATATAAGCAAAATATGAATAACTTTGAAAGATAAATTCCCTATACATTCTTTTCACTTTTTATTAAGAAGTAATACCATTATTATAAAATATATTTTCATGACCTTACCATAACAATTTTGTACAGTATTTTTAAGCTAATTTAGTTATTTAAACCTTAGAATGTATAAATTTCAATTTTAATTTATAATAAAAAGAATACACTTTATAATTTAAAACAATACATACAACCACATAGAAATATAAAGACCTACAATCTCTTCGTTAAATTTAAGTTACATATAAAATAGGTTAGTAAAAGTTCAGTATAAACTTTCATTCATAATTTGTTAAATATCTGTATTAATGATAACTATATTTATATCATCATTTTGTTGTTTAATTAAATTCTTTTTATTTTATCAATAACATTTATTCAAAATATATTACAAAAAAAATAAATCAATCTTCTTTATCTTTCATGTTAAATTAAAAAATCATCTATTAATTAAAAATTCCGATACCCCTCTTTATGAAAATGAACACCATTGATTATGTATCCATATTACTGGCTTTAATTATTTTTTTAGTAATCTTTATGTATAATTATAAAAAAGGTCATCGACAAGAAATATCTTCTCCAATTAATCTTTTAACAATGAGTTCAGAAATTATTGAAAACTCCAGATGGATTCACATTTATGCTGCATTAAAAATAAAAAACGAACATTGTCACGATGAAAATACTTTAAGATTATTTTATTATACCTCACTTATTTTTAAACATGCTGGGAATACTAATCAGTCAGATTGTTTTATTTTTTATAATACCCAAGGAGTAAAAAAAGAGCAAACATTTAAATTTTGTAAATTATTTATAGAATGTCAAGAAAAAAATCTTTTTACTATAAATAGCTTGAGGAAGAAATGTGAAATCTTTAATTTTGGGGTCAAATCAAATTATGAAGGTCAAATTATTATATCCTTAGATTTAAGAAGAAATGATCTCACAAAATTTAACTCATATATATTTCTACGAATATTTAACACATTTAAACATTTATTCGATGAAAATGTGCAAAAACTTTTGTGTGAAAAGTATATACTTCATGGACATTATAATACAGCTTATTCTGTCATTGATGTTTTGGGTGGCTTTTTTCTATACGAAATGTATATCAGACAATTTGATTTTAAATGTATTCAACAAAAATAATTCTATTCTGAAAACTTGTAATATAATAAAGTGGAATCTGACAGTTTACTAGGCCTTTTTTTAAAGTTTATTAAGTTCTTAAACTTGCGAATAAAAATAATTGTTGTTTATTTAAACCAGCAACATTAAGAGTAAAATTATTTAAGACATGTGGTCTTTCTCTATTAAATTTGTTATTTTTTATTAACTATGTACTTATGGATTTTTATAAATAAAAAGAGACCAACTTAAATGTTTAAACATAAAAAACTTTTAAAATCTAATATCTAAATAAGTTCATCATGTCTAAAACCACTGAAATAAATACGAGAGTTACTATATATTAAAAAGACAAGAAAAAATTTGATTCAATTTATACACCCTATTTTTTTAAAAAAAATTTCACAATTTAAAAATCATAGTATTGTTGTAAACTTTATTATTTTATGCCCTAACAAATCATCTGTATAAAAAATCGCTGGAAGATAGTATTTTAATCGATAGATTTGTGCTATATTACATTTTATAACTTTAAAAAAGAAAGAGTTAACAATTATAAATAAACTTTTGGTATAAAAATATAACACACAATTTAAATAAGAGTAACTAAAAATCGTATTGTAATCCACTCTAATTTGAATTGCTTAAAATTCTGCAAATTAATTTAAAACTAAATTTTTTGCTTAGTTTCTTTTTAATAATCATAAACTTTTTAATTTATATACAAGCGTTTGAGCTTCTTCTGGTTCATTAAAAATTAAATTATTCAATCAGTAGTTTTTAGAAAAATATTTTTTTAAATTTTAAGTTAATATATTTATTAAATTTCTCTAAGCTTTTTATCACCTTAGAAAAAATTTATAGTATTTCTTTGTTATGAACATTCAACATTAATATTTAAATGAAAAATTCATATTAGTTCTACATAAAATTTATACTTGCTTGATTATTCTTGAACTAACCTTTTATTCTTAATACACTATATAAAATAATTTATACACATTTTACTATAATCAAAGAGTAACACCTTTATAGTTAATTAATTTTTTTAAAAACTTAAAGTTTTTCTGATGTTTAATTCATTGTAAATAAATAATTGGTGTTTTTAATTCTTTTTTTTGTTTATTTTTATCTTTATTAATATAACATAAAATTATTTAAACATTTATTTTTCTACCATAAAAAAATGACTTGTCCACTAATTTTTTATTTATTCTAATAATACATTATTAAAATAAACAAAATGCTTTATTTTATACTTACTCAATTTATATACATATTTACTTAAAATAAGATTAATTAAACATTATGACTTATTAACCTTCTAAATTTAAAAAACTAATTTTTTTTTTAAACTTAAGTAAAAAATAATTATGTTGAATGTATCTGTTTATGCAAGCTGGATTATATTTAAATATTTTAACTCAATATAAAGGTCTGTAATTTCGGTACCTTGTTATTCTTTAAAGTTTAAAATACTTAACTGTCTTTTGATCTCACAAGTAATAATTTATTGCAGAAAGCTTTTATTAAATTAATATAAAATACACTTTTGCTTATGTGTTTATTCTGCTAATTGTTTTATTTACTAACAAAACATATCTTAAAAGTTTGTTTAATTAGAATACATATTTTGTTTATTTATTTAACATAAAGTTAGATTAACATACTTTTCCATTATTTAATTGTTTATTACACACTGTTGTTTTTTTCTTTAACCGAAACCAATTTTCTTCATATAATGAATTGTTTATTTTTTAGTGTGTTATTATATTCACTTATTTTAATGTTTAAATCCTTTAAGAAAGTAAATTTTTTTCTAATTTCTTATTTTATATATAAAATTTATTGAACATTTATATTATCATATTTGTTAATCAAAAAAAAATTAATTCAAAATCATATATGCTTTCTACTATCATAAAAATCGGAATTTTAGGATATTTCTATTTTATAACTTTAATTTTTGAAAATTCTTATATTGTCAATTTATTGATGCTTATTTTTTTATATTTATAAAATTAATATACCTATCAATTTAATAATTTATTATTTTTTTATCTAAACAGAATAAATTGAATATTGTTTTTTTTCTTAAGATAAATAATTTGTTGTCATAAATCGGTCTTTTATAAAATTGAGCTTGTAGTAACATATTTTTTTAGTCAACTTACTGTCAAGTTATTCTGAGAACTTTAAACAAATGCATTTTCAACTAATTCTTATTTCATTAAAATACTTTACTGTACAGTTGTTTTGTGCCCGTTTATTAAGTTTGTACTAAACTTTAACATAAAACTTACTTTTTATTGACTATTAATCTGTGCTGTATTGAAATATTTAGACACAAAAATATAATAACCAACTTTGTTTCTTGCTTTTACCCCTAGCTTTTTTTTGAATTAACTTGTCGATATATGTATTTATTCTGATAATGTAAACATAGTTAATTAGATATTAAAAACAATTCTTTGTACATCTTTAAACTCACTGTAAAAATATCTTTGTTTATGTAAAATAAACTAATTAAACATTATAAGCTTTTATTCGTCTATTGAATTGTCAAAAGATTTTATATTTTAAAAATATTTGATTGTACATGTTAAGTAAAAAAACACATTTATCTGTACCAAGTTTATGTTTTTTATACAAAACACATTGAAACATTATAATTTATTATTATTTTATCCTTAAAAAAGTGAATTCAAAACTAATGTTTAATACTAAGGATTTGATTGTTTATTGTGATAAACAGATCTACTATCTAATTTTTTATTCAACACAAAATAAAATATTTTATTACAAATTATTCCACATTTTTTAAAAAGTTAAATTATCCAATGATTTTTTTATAAAGAACTATTAATTTATCACCATAAACAAATCTTTTAATAGAATTAAGCCTTTTTTTTAATTTTTTTGTCAGCATAATATTAATTTAATTTACGGTGTACTTTATTAGTCGTATAAGTTAAACCAAGTAAATTAATAAAAATTTTATTTTTGTTAAATACAATGATCTGTAATTTTGAAAACTTTTTTCTTTTTTTCTTGCCTACAAATATATTAATATTTTGTCCCATATAAAAAGAGAATTCGATACTGCATTTTTATTTATTAAAATTAGTATTTGTACATCTTTAATTATTTGTTGCTTTATTATTATATATGTTAATTTAACATAAATAACTTTTGAGTTGTAATTGTCCACATATTTTTAATTTTTAAGTAGGCTTTAATGTACGATTATAATGTAGATATTTATTTTCTTATGGCTATTTTGTTATATTTGTAATTTAACATAAAATTAAATTTATTTTATAGATTATTATTCTAATATTGTCTAAAATGTAAATTGTTTAATAATTTTTTACTATGTTATTAAAACGAGAATCTTCATTGTTAATTGGTTGTGTCTTTAATCTCTTATTTTTAAGAATTATTTTTTATAAAAAACATAATAAATCTATGCTTTCTTAACATACATAGTTGTAAATAAAAATTCTTAAGCCAGTTTACTCTTTAAAATAGTCAAAAATATTCTTTTATTCTGTTCTAACATATTTTATTCTTAACTATATCTATTTATAGAAAAAAGAATTTCTATCAAGTAGCTTATCATTGACTTAAATAAGCTTTACAAATAACATAAATAAAACCAACCTTTTCTTAAAATTAAACTTATTAATATATATTAACTAAATACTAAGCTTATTCAAGATTTTA